TGGTCCCATTGATTTCCACAGTAAGTTTTTTTTTTTTTTTTTTATACTATGGGAGTCAGTGGGGACCAGCAACTGTTTAGTTACCCACATTCTTCAAAGTATCTACTTCTGTCTATAGCAGAAGAAAGAAACTCATACAGGTCTGGAACAACTTGAGGCTGAGTAAACAGAATGACAGAATTTTTGGGTAAACTATCCCTTCAAGACAGGTTGAAAGAGGTCTGTGTAGTCTCCAGTTGTTGTTGTGGTAAATGTCAACCACCAGGAAAACAAATAACCTTCACATTCATGATTAGAGATTTTGACATGTCTGCTATATTTAAAATATCAGTGTTTTAAAACTAAGCATATTTCCAATCTAGCTATTAAGTCCTATAAAGTATGTGCATTTTTGTTTTTTACAACCTGATTACTTGGTAGTCTCTTGTTCCTCAAAAGTATTTGCATAACCAAAAGACATTTAAATACAGAGGGCGTTATTTACATAGTTTTACACTATGCAAGAAAAACATTTACTGTAACTGTACTGTTCTCATTCCCTAATGAGTTCCAGAAAGAATTTACACCCGATACTTCCTCCATGAAGCCGCTTTACATTTCATCTCAACCTGAGATATTTTTACCAATCCTCCGCTATTGTTATAAAATTACCAAATTTGTCTCAAATCTTTGACCTTTGGCCATAATCAATCAAATCAATGATTAAATTAACATTAACAGATCAATAATGCTACCAATTCGATTACTCAGTTTGAGCAAGGTGTTGGATGATGTGAACATTTTTTTTAAAGAAGGAATTGTATATCACTGTTAAAACACATCTTATGTTACTGTATGGTTATTATATACTAAACATTAACCCTAAATGTTTTGAATATTACATAATCATGAAATAATGCCTTGTTCCACAGTATCTAAACTTGTTTTCTCCGTTTCTTTCTTTCCTAGGATGCAAGGAAAGCTTGTGCGGATGCCACACTATCACAGGTAAGAAAATGTTTGATTCTAATTTTCTGTTTAAATGTGTTAATTTAAGTAAACGTAATTTAAACAAACAAATTAATCTCTATACCGCTGCCATCTGTGTGGATAATTACAGTTTTTTAATTCACACACATGATTTCAGATCACAGCCAACATCGACCCTGTTGGCCGAATCCAGATGCGCACAAGAAGAACACTGCGAGGACATTTGGCTAAAATCTACGCCATGCACTGGGGCACCGATTCCAGGTACAGAACCGCTCCGTCACGTTATTTGCATGATGGCCTGACCTTATTTGTAAGCCCTTTAAAGGGGTCATATGATGCGATTTCAAGTTTTCCTTTCTCTTTGCAGTGTTACAAGCTGATTGTGCATAGATAAGATCCCTGAAGTTGCAAAGACTAAAGTCTCAAAACCAAAGAGATATTCTTTATTAGGGATGTAACAATTCACTCAACTCACGATTCGATTCGATTCACGATTATTATAGTTTTTTTTTTTTAAATTAGATTTAAGACAAATTATAAATTAAATGTGTCCTTTTATTATTGCTTGGACAAAATGCTGCACATCATTACTGTGTCTGTTCCCCTTTCGGGCTTGAACTGATGGTAAAACTAATGACATTATTTACTGTCTTTACATTTATTTTGAAAGATGAAGCTCGCGATTATGTTAAGGGGCGTTACATTTCCGACGAGTGCTTGCGGTGTTCGGCCAATCACAATGCACTGGGTCAGCTGGCCAATCAGAGCAGACTGCACTTGTCGGAAGGAGGTACTTTGTAGAAAACGAAGTGTTTGAGAGAGGCGGGGCATAGAGGACCTACAATAATGTACAGTATTTGAAAAATAATGTGTTTTTTGAACATTAAAGCATGTCAACATACTCTGTTACATCAAATACACAAAATAATGATCTTTAAAAAAGCATCATATGACCCCTTTAAAAACATCCTTATACATCAGGGCGAGCTACACCGAGGGGTTTCCCTTTTGCAGTGGAGGTGGACGGGTTCGTGGCTCGAGGGGTGGCCACTGCATGCTATCCCTATTGCATTGAATCATGTTCTTTTATTGTGTTTGTGTAGGTGGTGAGTGATGGTTGTAAGTAGGTGTTATGACTAAGCATGTTGTTACTATTATAGCTACAGCCAAGAAAAATCCATAACGGTACCATTTTTGTGCCGAATGGTGCTGGGAATAGTTTAAGATTCTCCTGATTGTTGTTGTGCAGGCTGTGATTTTTACATCCATGTTCCCTCTTAGGGATGTAAACCCCACTCACTCAACTGTGCTCTTGTGCTTTCTGTGCAGGCTGCTTGTCAGTGCCTCCCAGGATGGAAAACTCATTATTTGGGACAGTTATACCACAAATAAGGTATTATATTTGTACGTGTTATTCTTTGATTTCTTGAATTTTAATGTCATATAGAGCATTTCAGTGTCACAGCATTTTGTTTTGGCAAGAGTTTTAACAAGTTGCACCTATTTTCTGGGGTGAATGCTGGCAGCCATATTGATTTTTAAATTTTTTTTTTATGGAATTGTTCTAAATAGGCAGTTGTTGTAGTTGTAGTATAGTAGTTTGATTGTAGCATGTATAATTGAAATAAATGATAAATTTGTTTAATTACACGCCTTAAAATATCATATGATCTTTTTATAATGCATCTTAATGGACCTTTTTCACATTTCTGGGTTTCTCAGCAGCGGAAGTTCATAGTTGGGTTACTTCAAGAGCAGTGAATGGGAGAGGACCACAAATATATTTTTTGCATTCCCATTTGCTCAAATAACAAAAGAAAAATTCATAGTGTTTTCATGAGTTACAAAAAAAGGAAAAAAATGGAGAGACTGATAACAGCAGTCAGAATAGAGAACGATGTCAAATTTACCGTCTCTCCCATAGACGCTGCATTAGAAACACCCTCGCAGTAGCGTTAACTAGTTTTTTTGTAATTTGATGCAAATGTGATATAATACATAGTATAGTGTCATAAATGTACGTACATTTAAAAAAAAAATCAAAATATAAAAAAACTTTCGAGGATTTATGATGCTGATGACTGTTAAACGTGTCATCACAGTCTTATGAAAAGGGTCCATTGTTATCAACCAAAAAAAAAGTCTAATTAGACTGATGCTCTAACCATTATTTATTTATTTTATTACATTTTTTTTGTTATTCATATGAAAATATGAAGATAAATACATTTTAATTATCAACCACATAAAAGATAATTGAATATTGTCTAATTTCGGTAAATTCCTTTTTTTTTTTGTCTAATTAATTGCCACAGACCAAGCATCACTATCGAATGGAAAACTAAAGAAAAAAAAAAAGAAAATAAAAAATATATATATATATTAAACCTTGTAACTTGTTGTGCCAATGTTGCAGGATGGGCACGATTGAAACCTAAAATGCTCAAAACACTTCAGTAAAAAAGTTACCCATCTTTTGCATAGGCAAACACTTGCATTTTGTAAAAACCTAGTTTCTGTTATGTCATTATAAATATTACAGTTTTGCCCTAAAACGAAGTAATATAGACCCTCTGATGATCAGCTATCTGAAATGGTTTCTGCTACAGATTTGTATTACTCCCTGTTTTCTTCCATATGTCTTTTCCTGAGCATTCGTGTGTTGTGTTTCAGGTCCACGCCATTCCTCTGCGCTCCTCCTGGGTGATGACCTGTGCCTACGCTCCTTCAGGGAATTACGTTGCTTGTGGAGGCTTAGACAACATCTGCTCCATCTACAGCCTCAAGACTCGCGAGGGGAACGTGCGTGTCAGCCGTGAGCTGGCCGGACACACAGGTACAGGACGTGTCCTCCCAAAACACTCACACACTCTGATCTTGGCTCTTGTGAATATACACAAGGGTCGGTGTTTAGCAAAGCTGTAATTAAAGCATGAAACTGCACTGGTGTTTTTTGCACCCTTTTTAATATACCTCATCTGATCGACTTTAATGACGGCATCAGCAATTACATAGTGCACTCTCATTCTGTTCAGTTGCTTTATGGGTGCAGAAATGTCCAGGTCATATTTCACCACTAAATCAAGAGAAAAATAGGAAAATATATTTTAGATGAATTAGGACAATTCCCACCCCCCCCATATGATCTTTTTATAATGCATCTTAATGGACCTTTTTCACATTTCCGGGTTTCTCAGCAGCGGAAGTTCATAGTTGGGTTACTTCAAGAGCAGTGAATGGGAGAGGACCACAAATATATTTTTTGCATTCCCATTTGCTCAAATAACAAAAGAAAAATTCCATGATAGTGTTTTCATGAGTTTCAAAAAAAGGAAAAAAATGGAGAGACTGATAACAGCAGTCAGAATAGAGAACGATGTCAAATTTAACGTCTCTCCCATAGACGCTGCATTAGAAACACCCTCGCAGTAGCGTTTAGTTTTTTTGTAATTTGATGCAAATGTGATATAATACATAGTATAGTGTCATAAATAATTTACCGTCCCTCCCATAGACGCTGCATTAGAAACACCCTCGCAGTAGCGTTAACTAGTTTTTTTGTAATTTGATGCAAATGTGATATAATACATAGTATAGTGTCATAAATGTACGTACATTTAAAAAAAAAATCAAAATATAAAAAAACTTTCGAGGATTTATGATGCTGATGACTGTTAAACGTGTCATCACAGTCTTATGAAAAGGGTCCATTGTTATGAACCAAAAAAAAAAGTCTAATTAGACTGATGTTCTAACCATTATTTATTTATTTTATTACATTTTTTTTGTTATTCATATGAAAATATGAAGATAAATACATTTTAATTATCAACCACATAAAAGATAATTGAATATTGTCTAATTTCGGTAAATTCCTTTTTTTTTTTGTCTTAATTAATTGCCACAGACCAAGCATCACTATCGCATGGAAAACCAAAGAAAAAAAAAAATATATATATATATTAAACCTTGTAACTTGTTGTGCCAATGTTGCAGGATGGGCACGATTGAAACCTAAAATGCTCAAAACACTTCAGTAAAAAAGTTACCCATCTTTTGCATAGGCAAACACTTGCATTTTGTAAAAACCTAGTTTCTGTTATGTCATTATAAATATTACAGTTTTGCCCTAAAACGAAGTAATATAGACCCTCTGATGATCAGCTATCTGAAATGGTTTCTGCTACAGATTTGTATTACTCCCTGTTTTCTTCCATATGTCTTTTCCTGAGCATTCGTGTGTTGTGTTTCAGGTCCACGCCATTCCTCTGCGCTCCTCCTGGGTGATGACCTGTGCCTACGCTCCTTCAGGGAATTACGTTGCTTGTGGAGGCTTAGACAACATCTGCTCCATCTACAGCCTCAAGACTCGCGAGGGGAACGTGCGTGTCAGCCGTGAGCTGGCCGGACACACAGGTACAGGACGTGTCCTCCCAAAACACTCACACACTCTGATCTTGGCTCTTGTGAATATACACAAGGGTCGGTGTTTAGCAAAGCTGTAATTAAAGCATGAAACTGCACTGGTGTTTTTTGCACCCTTTTTAATATACCTCATCTGATCGACTTTAATGACGGCATCAGCAATTACATAGTGCACTCTCATTCTGTTCAGTTGCTTTATGGGTGCAGAAATGTCCAGGTCATATTTCACCACTAAATCAAGAGAAAAATAGGAAAATATATTTTAGATGAATTAGGACAATTCCCACCCCCCCGCTTTGTGATATCTGTTTTCATGACATAAGCACCTTTCCCCTTTATATTATCATTAGTGTAATACAGCAATGTAAATCCTCCTCCTCACAATGACATATTGTTCATTCACAGATATTATTTTGTTTTAAAGTAAAGTATTAAACATTTCTTAAGATTTTGAGAAGAAATATTGGTTTGGAATCATGTGTTAAATTTCCTCCCGGTCTTACAGGATACCTGTCTTGCTGCCGCTTCGTTGATGACAACCAGATTGTTACAAGTTCTGGCGACACCACCTGGTGAGTGTGAGGAACTGTATCCCAGCAAACCAAAGCTTGGATATCTCAGATACTAAAGCTTACATCTGCAGTTAGGACCAGATTTTGCTATCAATGCCGACAGGAATATTTTTATATTCTCATTTTTCGTTAAAGTCAGGAATCAGATTATACATAAAAGAATAATTTAAATAGCATACGCTTTGTATTTATGTTATGTCTGCATTCTTTTATTTAAAAAAAAGACCATTCTATAAAATCAACACTCGGGAAGTAACATCATTTGAACCATTGCTACAACATTATGGGGAAAACTAAAATAATTTCTGGTGTTAACTGCTGCCTTGTGCACAAGAAAAATAATTTATGGGAAATATGTATATCATGAACTACAAACTAACATATGGGCCCATTAAGGTTGTAGACTGAATCTGTCTATCTTCTGTCTATTTCTTATTTTTGTTTCATTAAGTTAATTCATGTTAATTTTGATATTTAGTAATACATTTATAAATTTGTTTGTTAACATTAATGCAATGTAAACACGAACAAACAATCAAGATTTGTGTTTTTTTTTAACCAATATTAGCAGAGATTAATAAATGATCTAAAAATTCATTGGTACTTTGTTTATTAACAAATAAAGACTTATCTGCATGTTAAGTCGTAATGTAAGGAATGCTGTTTCCGGGTCCAAGCCTCTACTCGTTTCTCGGTTTGAGAATACCATCTCAACAGCCGTTTATGAGCACTGTTTATTCATATTACACATTAAGTGAAACATTTAAAAACAACTTCCAGTGTACACTATAGTTTCCGTGCTCACAGTGTCCCAAACACAAATATTTTAACGATTTATATAAAATGAATCACTGTCTGGCCATCTAGGATTTTGGTTTGGAGATAAAGGTTAGGATTATAATTTTTTGGTAGTATTATATCACATTCTGAGTGTATATTAGTACCATTTCTTGTGGCATCTGATAGAGCGTTTGGACCCAGAAGCGGTGACGCGTGACGTCAGACTTAACAAGCGGATTGTAATAAGATTGTAAAAATATGTAATAAGATATAGACACAAGAATAAACCGATTTAGCATACAACCTATAATATTTATTATAAGATATTTAATTATTTTCATTTATTTTTCTTGTAAATGTAGACACGATCAGATTTTCCAGCTCTTATCTGCAGCTCTGAGAAATATTGCAGTTCATTTCCACTGGCATTTTGATTTCTCAGTTATACAAGTCAGAGTATGAATGTGAGTTTTGAAGTGATCACTGTGATCTGTCCCGCAGTGCTCTCTGGGACATAGAGACCGGTCAGCAGACGACCACGTTCGCGGGTCACACCGGTGATGTGATGAGTCTGTCTCTGGCTCCGGACACCAGGCTGTTCGTGTCAGGAGCCTGCGATGCCTCCGCTAAACTCTGGGACGTCCGTGAGGGCATGTGCAGGCAGACCTTCACTGGCCACGAGTCGGACATCAACGCCATCTGTGTGAGTGTTCCTGCCTCATTCTGACTAGCAACGGTACAGATTAAAACCGAAAGCTGTGTTCTTAGGAATAGGTGCTGTAGTGCATGCAATTTCCTGAAGAATTGAAACTAAAAGGAGCTCATATTCCCCCCACAGTTCTTCCCCAATGGAAACGCATTTGCGACTGGCTCTGACGATGCCACCTGCCGGCTGTTTGACCTGCGTGCTGACCAGGAGCTCATGGTCTACTCTCACGACAACATCATCTGCGGCATAACCTCCGTGGCCTTCTCGAAGAGCGGCCGCCTGTTGCTCGCCGGCTACGATGACTTCAACTGCAACGTGTGGGACACCCTCAAGGCTGACCGCGCTGGTGAGATACACACACGCAGATGGCTGAAAAATTGCAAACATATGCTAGTAATAGTTACTATCAGTGGCATGTGGTCTGGTGACCGCCCCGAAAACAAGCAAACCAACCGTACCACACACACACACACACACACACACACACAAACAGTGGTGTTGTTTTACATATGGTTCAGTGCCTGCTTCCTAACACACCACATTGGTTTGTCTCTTTTGCATATGGCAACATGCACAGTTCAGGCGCACTGTATTTCAGCTCATTTGAAAATTTTAGGCTTTAATATGAAAGGATTGGCTTTAATACGAAAGGCTTTGATATGTGGATTGTTTATCAACAGACCATTTGTACTGTGCATATATTTGTATTTGCAATAACTAATTTTTGTTTGATAATTTTTGTTGAGTGAATTTCTGAGAGAAAATCTTTTCTAAAAAAAAATAATTAAAAACAATTTACTAAATCCAACTGCATTAATAAATGTATTTATATATATATATATATATATATATATATATATATACTCGCATTTGCAAAGTTTTTACTCGTAATTAGCTAGTAAATTTTACTATTACAAAGAAGCAGCAAGGAACACACTGAATTAAACCTGAAATTCCAAAGTAGAAAAAAGCTAAAATGGTATATACTTGTAAAATGTACTACAATAATCTTTGTTTTATTTGAAACTTCAAAAAATTTGAAGTGTACAAGTGAGACTTTAAGCTAGTCCCTTTTGCAAAAATGCTGTTCATCCTTTCCATTAAAAAAAATGAGTGTAGAAACTATTTTCACTCAAATTGCTAGTAAATTTAACCATTAATGACAAAGTAATGGCAAGTAACATTTTAAAGTAGAAAAACTGAAATAGTGTTTTCTTGTAAAATATACTCCAATAATCTTTGTAAAAATTATTTTTCAAAGTTGTGAATAAAACACTGTATGGTTTACTGACAATTGGACTTTTTCAGGTGTGCTGGCCGGCCACGACAACCGAGTTAGCTGTCTGGGTGTAACTGATGACGGTATGGCAGTGGCTACAGGGTCCTGGGACAGCTTTCTCAAGATCTGGAACTGAACGCTGAAGGTGCTTTCAATACAACATGTCCGATACAGTAAGAGTCAGCCTCTTCCAGCGCAACCTAATGTCAAACGAGAGATACTTTGTGTGTTTTACATGCCATTTAAATGTATCCTCGTATCACCTCCTGCTACTTTTGGCCACACGTTAGTGAAGATCAGAGGGCCGATATGTAAAGTAAAATGTAGATGTAAAATCAATTTATCGATCTATCTATCTCTATATATTTTATTTATAT